GCCCCTAGAATCACTGCTCCTAAAAGTGCAAAGGTGGTTGCCTCTGCCTCTCCTGGTAAGGCTGTTTTAATAAGATACATGGCTTTCCGGGAGCCATCTGGGGCAGCCGCAAGGCACACTAAACTAGATTAGGGTTGACTACAAGTGCCAAAAAATATCAATGGCTTACGTAGTGGCAGTCGGGCTGCAAAGTTGGCATCACAACCACCAGGAGCCAGGCTCCCTCTATCATTCTGAATAATAGTTTCCACCTCATGGTTCAAGGTAGGTGCTCAAGCTCCAGTCATCGCAACCACATCCTAGCAAGCTGGAAGGAAGAAGAAAGTACACGCCTTCGCCTTTAAGGACATTTCTCAGAAGCTGTACGGGGCAGGTCTAACTTCATCTATCTCACTGGCCATCTCATGCCACACCCGACTGCAAGAAGCTGGGAAATACAGCATTTATTCCAGTCTGCTAGGGTTCTCTCCTCACCCCTCTCAACAGGGGGTTCCATTACTGGAGCATAGAATGGAAATCCAAGGACAATTGGACAATTAGAGACTCTGCCACAGGTGGGAAGGGAAGAAAGAGGTAACAGAAAGGGGTGGCCTGAGCAGCAGGCTTTCTTTGCTTCTGCTGCACAGAGAAGTCCTGGGGGGTACGGCCCCTCTTCCACCCTGGTCCTTCTGCTGCTGTTTTGGGGGGATGGAGACCTCCCCCACCGCCAGCACTGGGGCCTTTCAAGTGAAGCCCGAGTAGTCGGCTCCTGTGGAGGTTCTGGGTGACAGTCAAGTCTTCACCTGTCCCTCCTCTGCTCATCAAAGGCTGGCTGTCTCTCTGAGCAAGCTGCGGCTGTTCTTGGGCCCCGCAAGCTGAGAAGTTTCCGGGATCAGCAGTTCTGGAAGCTGACTGGCCCTCGGGTGAGGGCACGTGAGCAACTGTGCCGGGTGCAACACGGGGCTGGGCCGTGCAGGGCCTGCTGCTGGGTACCTGGTCCGCGACGGCCCCGGAGGCCCTGCGTCCGGTCCTGGGGGTGCAGCCACCAGCCCAGGTGGCAGCTCGGGAACCAGGGGACGTTGAAGTGAGGAAGAGGAAGGAAAGTAAGAAGCAGAGCCTTCCAATGAGAGTCTATCCTCTGCCTTCGTGCTCTGAGCCCCTCAAAGTCAAGGGCTTCTGGGCGTCAGGAGGCAGCAGGTCAGGGAAGGAGAGTCCAGGGCACTGCAGACCCCTTGGGGCACCAGCAAAGGGGCCACTCGGGCCGCATTCCAGCACCAGCTTGCCCCGCCCGGTAAGTCCTCGGCGACCCCATTGATCCATGCTCTCCCCCAGTTACCCCGCACTGCAGGCCCAGGCCGGGGAGCAGCATCCTGGCCAACGCGCAGGGTTTGGGGCCAAGTGGAGCCCAGGTTAAAATTCCGGAGCTGCTATTTACTAGGTCCGGAGTCATAATCATAGTAACCTGAGCCTCAATTTGCCTACCTGTAGGATGGAGGGGAGAGGGAAATACCTCATAGGGTAGCTAGGACACTTCCATCAGGATGGTCCGCATAAACCCCTGGAGCGGTTCTGGCCCATGCACGCATACAAGCTGTAGTTGCCTCCTCTGTCCCTTGTCCCCCACTGCAAGCACTGAAGCCTGGGTAGGGCCTGCCCAGGAGAACCCGCTGCATCTAATAATCTTTGCCCATCCCCACTGTGCCCAGCCACAAATTCCCTCTCAGCTGCTATTCTTGACTCTCCGGGTGAGCCCTACCCTTACTTATCCAATTCGTTCTCACCAGTCACAGAATGTCTTTCTCAACAGCTGCCTGGCCCACATGAAGTTCTCCCTGCCCCAGAGAGACTTATGGAGGAAGTCTTTAATTTCTCCTACCACAAAAAACTGCTTGTTGGCTAAGTGATAGCTCAGCCCAGATGACCTGGGCCTGGCTAGTCCTGACAGTAAATCCACAGCTGTGAAAACATGTGGTCCTAGGAACTGAGCATCCCCTGATTCTGAAGCCCCTCTGAAGCACCCCCACAGTGACTAAAATCTTCTTTTGGATCAGAGCAAGATGCAGGGCACACTGGAGAAACTGGAACCCCAGACACTTCCTTCTGGGCTGTTGCATATATTTGTAGGTCAAACCTCCTTATTCCTCCCTCTACCTCTGGCTGGCCACACCGAGTCCAGCTAACACTGGAGGCCTTAGACTGGCAGACACAGAAGAACTTGCTCCTGATCCTGACTTGCTTCCTCAGTAAGACACACTTGGGGAGATCTGAATCTGCCTTCTCTTCCTCTTCCTCCAGCCACAGGGCAAGGACCCCTACAGCCAGCCCTCTGCTGGGCTCACTTCCCAGTCCTTGAACTGGTTTCCTTCTGTTACCTCTTCTCTCCTCTTCATTATGAATGCTTCCCTCTGGATTGGATCATTCCAAACACCATGAAAACATACTTTGCCATTTCCCAGTTAATAAACAAAACAAAACAGAGACTTTCTCCTCACTCTGCTTCCAACCACTATCCTGTTTCTCATTCCTTCATGACACAATCCATTTTGGCTTCCATTACTTTCTCTCTGCTGCAACTGTGGTTATCAAGACTTCCAAAGATCTCCATGTTACAGGTGTTGGGGAATATTTTCTACCTTCATTTTGCTTAGCTTCACATCAGCTTTCAGTTGACCACTGTCCTTCTTTGGCATCCATAATGCCAACTCTCTTGTGATTTTTGTCACTAGTCACTAATCACTCTCTCTCTAGCTTCTTTGCTAGTCTACCCTCTTCTATCCAACTCCTAAATACTGGAGTTGCTCACTTCTCAGCCCACAACCTTGTTTTTTTTTCTTTACACTCTATTGAGGGCCAGATATGTCTCATCTATTTTTGTGGGCTTAGATCTCTCTAAATACCATTTATATGCTGATTACTCCTCAATTCACAAATATTTCTCAAACTTCACCTCTGAAATTCATATTCAACTCACTACTAGAATTATCCATTGAGGATCTTACAGGTATCTGCAAATGGCCAAAATGGAACTTTTGATTCCCTTAAGCCCCTCTTTCTTCTTCAGCCTTCTTCAACCAAGAAAAAGGCATAACACTTCTACCCAGTTAGTTGCTCAGGCCAGTGATTCTTGTTGAATGTACATTCCACAAGGGAAGGGATCTTTGTTTTCATTGTTGATGTATCCCAAACAGTGACTGGCACATAGTAAGCACTCAATATTTATTTGTTGAATAAATGATTTCCTTAATTTTTCTCATGCTCCACATCCAATCCATCAGCAAATCTGATTAATTACACTTCCTTTTTTTAAAAAAAAAGATTTTATTTATTCATTCATGAGAGACACAGAGAGAGGGGCAGAGACATAGGGGGAGAGAGAAGCAGACTCCATGTGGGGAGCCTGATGTGGGACTCCATCCCAGGACCCCAGGATCACGACTTGAGCCAAAAGCAGACGCTCAACCAGTGAACCACGCAGGTGCCCCTGATTAATTACACTTCCAATCCAAACCAGCACACGCACCTGCTCATGCCTCTTCATCTCATGGCCACCATTCTGATGATCTCTCACCTGGATGCCTGAAATAGCCTTTCTTTTTGCCTTTCTGCTTCCACTTTTGTACCTTGCCAATCTGTTTTCTTTACAGCATCAGATGATACCACTCCTTTGCTTAAAATCTTTCAGAGGCTTCCCATTGGGCTTCAAGGTAATATGAATTCCATTCTTTGGCCTACAAAAACTTGAATGGCTATTTCTAACTTTTGGATCTCATTTCATTATCTTCCAGACTTTCTCATTAACTTTTAGTTATTGGTCTTCCATGGATACCTAGAAATTTCCAATTTCCTTCCACCCCAGGGCCTTTTCATTCACTGCTCCTTTTGTCGAGGAGTATTCATTCTTCTCTTTGCTCTTTGAATGGAAGATTCTTTCTCAACCTTTATGTCTCAGGTTAAATATCACTTTCTAAGAGATCTCATTGAACAGCTTACCTTGGTATTTTCTATTACAGTACTACCATTATTAACATTCAGTAGAATCTATTATTATTTTGACCATTTGTTTAAATGTTTATTGTCCCTCCCCACCTCTTTCTCTACTCCTCCTGCATGTTTATTAACTTCATAAAATCATAGGCTGTGCCTATCCTGTTCACCATCAATGCTACTGGGTCTGGTATAGGTACCAGCATTTGCTCTAAACTGTATTTATTGAAGAATGAATGAATGACTCAGATGTGCTTCACCTGTCAAGTTACATGTGCATTCTTGAGATATCTGGTCCAACTTCGCAAATATTTGAATATTAAGTAACTCAGATATCAGTTCTAGGTACCCATTCTTTCAGATTTACATACGGTTGAGAGTAATTCTCTTTCCTGCAAAAGTTTAATGTCCTCCTCAGGAGGTTTATGAATTCCTGGTCTTATGCTCTCAAGAGCACTTCTGGTCTTAATTTGCTGCTCCTGTAAATTCTCAGTCTTGTTCATATCTCTTCTCATGAAGCTGTTCTTAGATTTCTGCTCCAACATATTCCAGATGAGAAACAGCTTTCTCTTTCTCACTGGGCCCAAACATCACCTGACCAGGCATTTGAGGATAAAGTAGAGTTTCTTGATATGTTAGAGCATTAGTTGGGATACAGAAGAAGAAGCCAGAGAAACAACAGTGTTTACACTACAGCACTAGGAAACAAACAGCTTTAAATTTCAACATTAAACATTCTTGTCCTTAAAAGTCCTAGAGCTACCACCACCGCCACCCTGCCATTGGTAATTTTTCACTGGTGACATTTCATGGCCTGGCCTCTTCTCCTTTCCCATTGTTCTTCCCCTCATTTCTTTTGGAGAGCAGCTTAATGCTCTCTTCCTCTTCTTTTAATCCAAAGGGTGGTGGGAGGGAGCAAAATGGGGGGTGAGTGACACTTGCCTTTCAAATAAACACAGAAATAGTCTAGTCCCTTGGAAACAGAGTGGTGGCTCTCTGCTCCTCTCCATTCGACAGACAGCTGCATCTTCTGGTGCATGGCCTTCCGTGTCCCCACCTGCAACGTGTCAGTTGTGGATCTGACCTGCCGCCTGGAGAAAGCTGCCAAATATGACGACATCAAGAAGGTAGTGAAGCAGGCATTAGAGGGCCCCCTGGGCTACACTGAGGACCAGGTTGTTTCCTGTAACTTCAACAGTGACACCCACTCTTCCACCTTCGACACTGGGGCTGGCATTGCCTTCAATGACCACATTGTCAAGCTCATTTCCTGGTGTGACAATGAATTCGGCTACAGCAACCGGATGGTAGACCTCATGGTCCACATGGCCTCCAAGGAGTAAGAGCCTCCTGGACCAGGCTCTAGAAAAAAGCATTAAGGATTCACGAGACTTCATGACTGCAGAATTTAGATCCAATCAGGCAGAAATTAAAAATCAATTGAATGAGATGCAATCCAAACTAGAAGTCCTAACGACGAGGGTTAACGAGGTGGAAGAACGAGTGAGTGACATAGAAGACAAGTTAATGGCAAAGAGGGAAACTGAGGAAAAAAGAGACAATCAATTAAGGGACCATGAAAACAGATTAAGGCAAATAAATGACAGTCTAAGGAAGAAAAACCTACGTTTAATTGGGGTTCCCGAGGGCGCCGAAAGGGCCAGAGGGCCAGAATATGTATTTGAACAAATCCTAGCTGAAAACTTTCCCAATCTGGGAAGGGAAACAGGCATTCAGATCCAGGAAATAGAGAGATCCCCCCCTAAAATCAATAAAAACCGTTCAACACCTCGACATTTAATAGTGAAGCTTGCAAATTCCAAAGATAAAGAGAAGATCCTTAAAGCAGCAAGAGACAAGAAATCCCTGACTTTTATGGGGAGGAGTATTAGGGTAACAGCCGACCTCTCCACAGAGACCTGGCAGGCCAGAAAGGGCTGGCAGGATATATTCAGGGTCCTAAATGAGAAGAACATGCAACCAAGAATACTTTATCCAGCAAGGCTCTCATTCAAAATGGAAGGAGAGATAAAGAGCTTCCAAGACAGGCAGGAACTGAAAGAATATGTGACCTCCAAACCAGCTCTGCAAGAAATTTTAAGGGGGACTCTTAAAACTCCCCTTTAAGAAGAAGTTCAGTGGAACAATCCACAAAAACAAGGACTAAATAGATATCATGATGACATTAAACTCATATCTGTCAATAGTAACTCTGAACGTGAATGGGCTTAATGACCCCATCAAAAGGCGCAGGGTTTCAGACTGGATAAAAAAGCAGGACCCATCTATTTGCTGTCTACAAGAGACTCATTTTAGACAGAAGGACACCTACAACCTGAAAATAAAAGGTTGGAGAACCATTTACCATTCAAATGGTTCTCAAAATATACCCTAAAAACTATAGAACACTTCTGAAAGAAATTGAGGAAGACACAAAGAGATGGAAAAATATTGCATGCTCATGGATTGGCAGAATTAATATTGTGAAAATGTCAATGTTACCCAGGGCAATTTACACGTATAATGCAATCCCTATCAAAATACCATGGACTTTCTTCAGAGACTTAGAACAAATTATTTTAAGATTTGTGTGGAATCAGAAAAGACCCCAAACAGCCAGGGGAATTTTAAAAAAGAAAACCATATCTGGGGGCATCACAATGCCAGATTTCAGGTTGTACTACAAAGCTGTGTTCATCAAGACAGTGTGGTACTGGCACAAAAACAGACATATAGATCAATGGAACAGAACAGAGAACCCAGAAGTGGACCCTGAACTTTATGGTCAACTAATATTCGATAAAGGAGGAAAGACGATCCACTGGAAGAAAGACAGTCTCTTCAATAAATGGTGCTGGGAAAATTGGACATCCACATACCAGCCCCAGCAAGAACAAGAGGAAGAGAGAGGCCCTCAGCTGCTGGGAAGTCCCTGCCCTAACTTAATCCCCCAAAACACTGAGAATCTCCTGACCTCCAATTTACATCCCAAACCCCAAGGAAGGGGAGGGGCTTGGAGAGCCCTACCCTGTCATGTACCATCAATAAAGTATACTGTACCCAGCCAAAAAAATAAAAAATAAATAAATGAAATGAAACAGAGTGACTGCAGATTGTTGTGATTAAAAAAAATACCTTTTTAATTCTATTGTACATACTCATACTGTGCACCAATTAAAAGAAGTATATTTATTGCTATAAGTGCCTACATTAATAGTGATAGAGAAGAATGATAAAGACAGAGATAGAGATGATTGGGCAATTATTTTGGTTTTCCAAAGAACTTCTGTGGAAAGGCCTGAGGCCCATAACCTTGATTCTCAGTGAGTCATAACTTTGGAGTCTGAACAAAAATTCTTCTTCTCTGGGTCTGCAGCCACCCTACCTCTACTCTCTCTTACTGTACCCGTTATACGTTGGCTCATGTAGACCAAGTAGCCAAGTCTGGTAGAGTGTGAACTGGGGAAAGGGTTTAAAGACATTCACACAAATCTCAGTTAATATTGGATGCAAGGAAGAATAAGAATCTTCATTTGGATGTAAAAGTATGGAATAACCTTGGGATTGGTTGGACTTGATTTCCAAAGAATAACTCTGAGCACATAGGAGAACTCATACATCTCAGAAACTATAAGGAAAATAATAAAAGGACTATGTTCCTCTGGTGAAAGAGATTGAAATCATTTGCTCTAGATGAAAACATTTGGAAAGGTCATGTTTATATTACCCAGGGAACATAATAGCTGACTCCCTAGAGCTCAGAACAAAGTGCACTCTCAGACTTCACTCTGAGATTGAAGTAGGTTTTCTTGTACTCTAAGTACAAGTTGATATATTCTAGACCATTCAGGCTGAGAAAACCTGGTCTCTAAATACAGAGGAATTCATACTTTATAGAGAGGTCTGAGCCGTTACTGGCTTGCTTTAATTAATGGGGAATGGGGTTATAAATGGAATAATCAGCATCAATATTTCTGTGGGTCACTGAGTAAGACACATGCCAAGTATTCTAGAAAGAATAGAGATAGGACTGTCCCACCATCCGGGGCAAGGTGGAGAAACAAGGGGTTGTTATTCCTGTGGGTCTCCTCTTAACCACAGATGGCAAACAGGGCCAATCCTTGTCCCCAGCTCATTGCCTCTTCCAACATGTTTCCTTTGTAAGCTAAGCCTGTGAAGAAAGCTGGGGCCTGCCTAGGGGCCAGGCACGGTCTCTCTGATGAGGACAGCTCTACTCTTGTTCTCTGGATGGCTTTTACTACCAACACTTCTATCAGACCCTCCTTTGCTTCTTGCCTTCTTGAATGCCACGTTGCTAGATTCGGTCAGTGGAGGTTAATTCGATCAGAATTAATGACTAAAGGAATTCCTACTCAGTCTCTTCTCCTCTGCCTTCAGGCGTAACTCACTTGGGAGATCCAACAGTAAGGATTTAGGGGGCTTCTGGACTGATGTTTGTAGTCAATAGTGACCCAAAGTCCCTTTCCTTCCTTCCCTGACTAATTCTGTAGTACTACAGGCACTGATGTGATTCCTCCCTTTCTTCCACTTCCTCCAAATTCAGTATATAGGCAAGACATTTAGATAGATCTCCCAAAGCCACCTCCTTCTCTCCATCCCCACTGCCACCAGCCCAGCCCAAACCTCAACTGATGTGAAGGCAATTTCAGATGCTTCCTTCTCTTCTCTCTTTTCCCATTTTCCACACATCAGCCAGAATGATCTTTTAAAATGCAAATCAGATGATACCTCTGTCTTGCTAAAGCCTCCAATGCACTGGCAGCTTCAGAACTTCTATACAGGTTAGAAGAAGGTCTGTCGTGCATCACTTATCTAATATTGTGGAAACAGCAATTAAAGAATGTGTGGAGGAAGGACTGATGGGCTTATGGGGGGGGGTGGAGGAAACCTCAAACCACTTTGAATAAAATCTATTGTATCTTATGGCTTGAAAAGACCTCCATGGGGTAGCCCTCCTCTTTCTCTTTGCCCTGGGATAGACTCACTATCCCTTTGCTCACTGTGGGAGGGACCAATGTGGACACACTGGTCCCTCCCACAAGCCGAGCTATTTCTGTACTAGGACCCTTAGCACATGCTCTGCCCTCCATCTCTGCTTCTGCATGACTGAACCCTCCTTGGCCACCATGTCACCCCCTCAGGGTGGTCTTCTCTGACCTCCCTAAGAACCACCTCCCATCCCCTCTTCTCCCTCCTTCCCATTACTCTGTATCACCACACTGAGCTTTCTTCATAATACTTTCCTCAATTTTGTCAGTCTTCCTGACTAGACTGTAAATTCCAAGAATGCAAAACAGCATTTTGATTTTGTTTCCCAGCACTTAGCACAGTGCTCATCACAATAGGCACTCAAAAAATACCCGTGAATGAATGAATGCTTGAATGAATGAATGAATGAATGAATTATACTGGGTGGCTGTATTATTTCTTTTCTGGTCAAAAGAATCATGTGTGACTAAATTAAGAAGGTAATAAGGAGGGCCGCCCGGGTGGCTCAGCGGTTTAACGCCGCCTTCAGCCCAGGGCCTGATCCTGCAGACCCGAGATCGAGTCCCACGTCGGGTTCCCTGCATGGAGCCTGCTTCTCCCTCTGCCTGTGTCTCTGTCTCTCTCTCTCAATCTCTCTCTCTCTCTCTCTCTCTCTCTCTCTGTCTCATGAATAAATAAATAAAATCTAAAAACAACAACAAAATAAAAAGAACAGGGGATCCCTGGGTGGCGCAGCGGTTTGGCGCTTGCCTTTGGCCCGGGGCGTGATCCTGGAGACCCGGGATCGAATCCCACGTCAGGCTCCCGGTGCACGGAGCCTGCTTCTCCCTCTGCCTGTGTCTCTGCCTCTCTCTCTCTATCTCTCTGTGACTATCATAAATAAATAAAAATTAAAAAAATAAAAATAAAAAGAACATAGCAAGGATTAACAGCAAATTTGGGCTCTGCATGCAGTTTCAACCATTCACATGCATAAACCTAAAACTGGAGTGGGAAGTATAGATGTATTAACAAGGGATAGTCTGATGGCCCCTGAACCCAGAAAACAGGTATCAGGGATCTTGGAAGGTACGTGTACAGATATATCATTACCACACTTAAGTGCATCTAGAACCATATGGTCTAGTGCTGGGTTCCTCAGCCCCCACACTATTGAAATTTGGGGCTGAAAACTTCTTTATTGTGAGGAACTGTCAGGCACATTGTGGGAAGTTTAGCAGCATCTCTGGCCTCTGCACACGAGATGCTAGGATCACCCTACCAGCAGTTGTAAACAACCAAAAATACCTCCAGAAATCACCCAATGTGCCCAGGAAACAAAATCATCCCAGTTGAGAACCACTGGTCTAGGGCACCACTTAACCATCTTCAGGTGGATTGCAGTGATCTGAAAGACCTTGGGGTGTCAAAAGAAAGAAAGAAGAAAATGAGATTGGTTATAGGTTGCTTTTTATTCCTGACATGAGGACTAGCACACAGTATTCAAAGGCCAGAATGTGTCATCAATCTAGCTTTAGCTTCAGAAATAGACAAAAGATCTACAGGATGAAGCCTGAAGCTCACTAGAGACTTCCAAAAGAAGAGAGAGGTGAATTAAATACGACTAGATAAAATAATTCATGCAACAGCAACAGGATTTAATTATGGCTGGCTGCAGTCTATGAATGTGAATCAAAAAAAGTGCCAAAGGCACATTGAGCAATGATGACTGAAATGATGCTCATTGTAAACGACCGGCTTATGAACCAGGGCTTGCTGGATGGAACATGGGGAATGAGCCGCGTCTGGTAGGGCCTTAATCAATAGGCAAGTCCAGGTAAGCAGTTCAGGAGCTGCTAAACTGATGCGATCATTGGCCACGGCACGGGGACGGGAGAGCTTTATAAATCATCCTGACATCAGTCCAAGCAGTAGAAAAGCAAAGCTGAGGTTTCAGGCGCTGGGTCCGGAAGGAGGCGGCATGTGCACAGAGAAAGTGAGTAGAGAGAAATGAGAGGGACGAGGCGGGAGTGATCTGGGCTCTGCCCGTAGGGAACAAGCGCCAAGACTGTGTTGCAGAAATGCAAACTGAGACACAGAGAAGGCGTCAAAACAGTTAAGTAAACGGGCCTCGAAGGTACTTGGAATGGAAAAATGATTATGGCGCAGAGCCCTCCCAAGGAAAACAGGAAACATTCTGCACTGGGGGAAAGCACAGAACCTTCCTCGCACAGACAATCCTACATGCAAGTGGAAACTTGAAAGGAGACACGGAGCCGCAAACTCTCGCACACACACTCAGGAGCCACATAACAGCTGCCTGATGCAGAGCAGAGTCTGTGAATGTGTCTTTGAAATTATCAGTGGCAACAGCTGAATAAGACAGACGCTGTGAAGGCTTCTTCTCTGTTAAGAGAGGCTTTTAGAAAGTATCCGGGAGGCCACGGGCTTCAGGATTTCAGCAGCAGGGGAAAAGCGTTTTGAAGCCCTAGGCCGCAGCCTGAACGTAGGAATTGCTAAGAAAGTGATGTTTAATTACAAAAAAATCAGCACAGATTTTCAGTGGGGAAACTGTTTTGCAAACCTGCGAGGTGAACCTGTAAAGGAACATGTTAACGGCTGAAGCTGCCTACCCAAATCATTTAAACACCTTTCCGGAAAGCATTTGACACCATTCTTTGTAAAAACCCTAATCTGCAAAAATATATTCTGGCATTTACAAGGCAAGCTATTTTAACCACAATGAGGAAAAGAATCCCCCTCCTCCCTTCCCCAAACCAATTTTGAGATAGGCTATCGAGTTACAGTCAATATTCTGGTATGGCAGGAAGAACACTGAGGCTCATTTGAAATACTGTGTGCAGCTCTGATAAGGACATAAATATGGAGAAGGTGGAGCAGAGAGCAACCAAGTGATAAAGAGACTCAAAGGAGACATACTTTACATTAGCACGTATCTTGCAAAATCAGCAACTGCACAGCACTTGGTCAGCAAAGAAGGGAATTTATGAGTGGATTTCATTGAGATGTTAAGGGGAAATCTAAAGGGATTACAACTGATCATGCAACAGGGCTGCTTGATTTTGAATGTATGACCAGGGTCTGCAAATTCAGGTGCATTTTTAAAAATGTAAAAAAAAAAATTTCTTGTTTATTTGTTTGTTTGTTCACATTGGTGGAGGTCGTGGGCCTTTTGAAGTGGGGAAGAAGGGCCTTGAGCAGCGTAGGGACAATGGAGCAACTGTGAGAACTGTGAAAAGGAGAAACAAAGAAGAAAATGAATCTTACAGCATCTTGGACATGGCCGTATAGACTCATCCCACCCTAGACTGGAGAAATAGCTGTTTTTCTCCTTGGGTCCATCTCACAGTTTTATGTATGGATATGTTTCTTCTTAGATCAACCTCATTGCAGATTTTGTGTAATCCTGCCCCATGACGCAGAAAGCAAGCCGTCTCACCATGATAGAGAATCTAGAACACCTACAATCAGGCTTCTTAATGTTCCCTGTGGTTTCTTTCTTATTTCAAGTCCAACACATCCTTCAAGATTCACCCAAATTCTATCTCCTCTAAGAAGTCTTGGTTGACTTCTTTGGTTGAATGTGATTGCTTCCTATTCTGAACTCCTCTGGCATTCTCTTCTCTTTGTGACATCATTTATTGGGCGTTTACTTTATACCTAAAGTAAGTTGTATCAAGAGCAAAGAAAAAAATCAAAGACTATGGCATTTTGAGTGGGGAAATAAAACAGGAACAGATTAAAATGAGAGAACTGGGATCTAACTCGAATTAAGATTTGAAAATGGACTAGATCAATTTTCTTAGAAAAGAGAAAAAGGACTTTAAATGCTAATATATGATTTGTGTTTATGCTAGGTTACTTCATTATGTTTTCACTAGGTAATCCTACTCTACAATATTTGCCTGTATACATATACTTATGTAAATTTTTATTTATTTATTTTTTAATTCTGGAGGGAAAGATACCTGTTAATAACTATGATTTCCTCCAGGGAATGGAGTAACTGAGAGACACTCAAAGAAGACCTAATTGACATGAGCACATCCAGTAGGGAGTATGAGAAGGGGGGAAGATGATTGAGGACTTCCGATTTGCTCCATTCGTGGATTATTTATATTTTTGTAATGCATGCTCACGTGAGTACCTGCCAGAGTCTCAGAAGAAATAAACCACTGCAGTTATTTTAACAGTGAGAATTTAACATAAGGAATTTTTAACCAGGTGTTAAAGCATTTCAAAAGCGTAAAGGGAACACCGAAGTATCACACAGGTCATCACTGCCCAGAGCACCCACCACCTGGGGCTGGGGAACAAAGGGAGGTCGGCAATCACTACATGTTAAGAGTCTGGAAGGGAACTTGGCTGGCCCTGGTGCCTCGGGATCTCAGAGGGCGAACTCAGATCTCTGACAAGGGGTATCAGGGATGGTAGGGAAACCTCAAAACTGAAATCAATGACTAGGGGAGAGTCAGGCAGGAGGGCCTTGGCTGAGCCACCCCCGCGGGAACAGAAGAGCAGGGAGCGGCTGGCTCTTCCTCCTTCCCCTTCCTTCCACCCTTCTCTCTCTCTCTCTCTCTCTCTCTCTCTTTCTCCCCCTCCCCCACCACCCATGCCCCCTAATGGAGATGATGGCAAAGCTGTGCCAGGGAACTGTGTACAGTGTTGGTGAACCTTATTCACAGCTTACCAGTTATGTTGTGCAAACCCTGTGATCCCCGTGGGTGATATAAACAGTTCAGCTCTCTCCTAATCCTAAGAGTCAGAAACAGCCTCAAAGACGTTAGAAGTGGACCCCGCGCTGATGTCTAACCAGTCTCCTTGGAGAGGAACATTGGATTGGTAGGGAGTACACGCAGTTATGAGCGAACAGTTTTTATTCTTTCTCTGGCTCTGCCGCTAAATGGGCGATCGTATATAAACTATGTCATCTCTTTTAAAATAACAATAGTAAGGGATGCCTGGGTGGCTCAGTGGTTGAGTGCCTTCAGCTCAGGTGATTATCAGGGGTCCTGGGATTGAATCCCGCATTGGGCTCCCCACAGGGAGCCCGCTTCTCCCTCTGCCTGTGTCTCTGCCTCTCTGTGTCTCATGAATGAAGAAATAAAATCTTTTAAAAATAAATAAAATAAAATAAAATAACAATAGTAAGAATTAACCCCTGTTAGACTATGACTCTCTGGCCTCTGTTTCCCTGTCCATTTGAGGAGGTTGGACCAGCTGATACTGAAGGCTATTTCTGCAAGACACTAGGAACTCAAAGGTCCTGACTAAACATAACTACAAAGAAAAGCTCCCTCACATATTTATAGACCCCTGATCTCTCAAAACTGATAATAGCACAAACTTTTACATAAGTACAAAAACTGCCAACTCGACATAGGTTATTATTCACCATCATCTATTCTCCTGCTAGGAATTAGATGAGAAAAAAAAAAAGGAAGAGGATCAACAGCTTTTCAGAAAAAAAGTCATTTAGGATAATCTGTTTCTTGCTTTTGGCGTGTAGGTGTGTGATCATCCCACATTTGACTATAACCCTTAATATTAAATTGGGGAGAGGATAATGCACATTTTTTATTACTTTGCTTTTTCCCATTTTTATATCCTGTTTGACTTTAAAATTCTCAGCCTATCACAGGCCTTTGAGATGAGTTAGTATTTTCAAAATGGAAAGGTCCAGAAACCAGGGATGCTTGAGAACTTGCCTGAGGACACCCACCTGGTAAGAACTGAGCTGGGATCTGAACGTGTGATGAGTTTTACCTATAGTGACAGTACCGGGACTGCCAACACTAAAACTGATCTTGTCGTAGAAATCCTATTTTTTAAATAAAAACTCTCCTGTCAGTGTGTAACCTTGTAACTCTTGACGAGCCAGGGATAGGGACATTAATACACTGCCAGCCCCTTGGCCAAATGACCTGACACCACTGAATCCCTGGAAGTGTCACCAAAGCAAGTCATAGGCCAGCTGCCCACCATGCTGATGGGGTCCACAGGTGTCCAACATCCCCAGAAACTTCATACCACACCACTGGGCCTGAGTTGTAGAATATGATGGAACCCTAAGAGTCTCAGGAATGGAGTGATTTTATAAGCACAGACACTCATTTTCTTAGAAACGCTCCTGTGGAAAAAAAAATTGTACACCTGGGCTAAAGCAAGCCTCTTCTGTTCACCATCAGATGATTTTAGCTACAACATTTATAGTGCCATTTTGGGCTTATGATGAAGTCCCTCGTAGGCTTTTGGACCCCCCCCCCCCCGCTGGGAAATAGAGGGCTCACTGTAATAACAAGACGCCTGCCTCAGAGAGAGATCTTGATTCTTCATCTGCACATCTGTAGAGCCCCAGAAAGAGTGAGGGCAAGAAAGCAAGCGCAGGGAGGAGAGCAAGCCTTCCCAATGAATGGTCCGGGGTACAGGTTCCATGTCAGAACTCCAGGGACAGCTAAGCAGAAGGAGTGGGGAGAGCTGGTCTTGCTTCTCCTCTTCCCTCCGCAGATAGGCTGGAGGTCCTTTGAGAATGCCATGCCCTCTTCAGTGTTGCCACAGCCTGTGCCCAGTGTCGCCCTCATACCTGAAAATGAATTACTTTAATCAACTATCAAAGTCAACAACTAATTGCATCCAATATTATCTCTGAAGGGAGGGTGGAAGGTACTGGGGGTTTCATAGACCAGGGCCCAAACCCCAGGAATTCCACCATTTTTATAAATCTATACAGGTACACAGCCTCTTGAGCCTGGGTGTCTTCGTTTGACAAAGGTGAGTGATAAAACTGCTTTTGTTGGCTGGAATAGTAGTTTCCTATCTATTGTAATAAAAAAAAAAAACCTTAAAATAACAGAAATTCTGACTTTCATACTTCTGGAAAATCAAGTCCAAAATCAAGGTATTAGCAGGAGTACGTTCCTTCTCAAGGCTCTCGGGAAGAATCTTTCCTTACCTCTTCCAGGTTCTGGTGGCCCCAGGCATACCTTGGCTTATGGCAGCATAACTCCAATCTATGCCTCATCTTTACACGCCCTTCCCTCTGTGTCTCTTGTCTTATAAGGGCATCAGTCGTTAGATTCAGGCCAACCCTAATTCAGATGATCTCATCTTGATTCTTAACTAATTGCATCTGCAAAGACCTTATTTCCAAATAAGGTTAAATTCTGAGGTTGCAAGTGGACATGAATTTTGGTGTGTGGCAGGTAACGGGAAACATCACTATCAACCTATGATGGCTGACTAGGAGGCTAAATGAGAAGTATCTCACACAATACTTGCAAGTTATAGGTCTTGAATAAATAAAGGGATGGTTTTTGGTTTTATTACTATTGCTACCGTAGGAGCCATTGTTTTCCTAGGCAATCAAAACAAAATGTTTGATCTAGGAATGAAAGGGCAGGCCTGGGGAGTAGTAGGGGAGAGGACAGCACAGAGACCCAGCAGAGAGAAAGTGCTAAAGTGATGATTACTATGTGGACTTGCTTCATTTCTATGCCTCCCGAGGCCAAGACCCAGGATAAACTATCGGCGTTGGTTGGGGAAACTAGACTCTTCAGCCTGGCCCGGCTTAGCTTTATTTCCCTGAGGGAAGAGAAACACAAG